TCCTCCTCAACCTCCTTCTCCTTCTCCTCTTTCCCTTCCTCCTCCTCAACCTCCTTCTCCTTCTCCTCTTTCCCTTCCTCCTCCTCCACCTCCTTCCCCTTCTCCTCCTTCTCCTTCTCCTCTTTCCCTTCCTCCTCCTCAACCTCCTTCTCCTTCTCCTCTTTCCCTTCCTCCTCCTCCACCTCCTTCTCCTTCTCCTCCTTCTCTTTCACCTCCTCCCCCTCCTCCAACTCCTCTTTCTCATCCTCCGTTTCTTCATGCTTGAGAGACTGTCCTTTGTCCTGCATTGAACTGTCCCTCCTCTTCTGCTCGTCTACTTTTTCTTTTTCAGTATCACCCACTTCAGGTCCAACACTTTCCATCGTCTTTTCCTCGATGTTTTCTCCATCGCTTTCTACTAACGTGAATACCACGGGTGGGATGTTCAGTGGCTTCACATGGGCTTTGGACTTTTTACGGGGAGCCGACGGTTTTTCCTTGTGCATCTTCCCGGTCAGTGCAGGCGAAACAACTATCGCAACAGGCTTGGCAGCAGCTGTCTCCACGTTTCTGGTGAAGAGAGTACGCTAGATTCACGTGACAAGAACGAGCAGGGTTTGGTGAGATCAACAGGCCGCCGTCATGGGAAAATGAATTGATGATGATAATGTTGAAACAAAATTATAACTGTTATTAGTTTTAGTAAATGTTTTCCATATAAGTGCCGAAGATTAGAGGTGTTACACAAGAGGAACAAACACAAAAAAGAAGGAGCCAGCCACCCACGATAACTGTTTAAGTAAGTGAGCAAATCAATGCAAAACTGGGGGTTGAGTGTTCAATGAAAATGCCTGACGGGAAAAATACCCCCCCCCCCCCCCCTGAAAAATAAAAATTAAGAAAACAAACCAGAAAGTCGCAAGAAAAGACAGGGGCACATAAATGAGGCATTTGCATAAATGTGTTGCGGAAAAACCATGACTGATAGAATAAGTAATGATAAGCACGGCGACAAAGGAAAAAAATACAGATCTAAGCGTAATTCTAATATTTAACCAACGACAATGTATTTGGAGGGCAAACCTTCTGTGGAAGAGTTCAGGCCCACGATAATTACGAGAAAAGGTTGATGAACATCCAAGTGAATGTCGCCTTTTGTCGTTGAAAATTTAGCGGATAACTGTACATGCTTCACGGCCCACTGAGCAACAAGGGCTCATGCTTTACGCCTCATACGAGTCACACGCCAGTCTGTGTGATGCATTCAAGAAGACGGAAGCATCCGACGAAGAGAATTTATTGCTGATTTTGCTGTTCCTCTGAAGAAGGAAGCGGAAGGGACGGAGCAGAATATAGTGCCGAGAGCATTTTTTGCTCTCAGAATCCAAAGGAAAATTCCACCGGGCATCTCAGCATCTCGTTGATAATCCTGATGAAGTACTCTTTTTCCGTCAGAATTTTGGAAAGGTTTTCCCAAACGTGCGACCTTTGATCTTTGTCTTTGTATGTAGTCAGGATCACGTGGGTCCCAGAGTAAAGGCTTTGCTCGGAATAACTCGATTAATCTTTCTTTGTAATCATCCATCTTGAGGTGGCGTCGGTAGCCTAGTGGTGAGGCTACCGGACTCGTAATCTTGAGATTGTGGGTTCGGGGGTTCGAGCATCAGCTCGGTCCGACTTTGTGTCCTTGGGAAAGACACTTTACACGAATTTCCCACTTGGCTCGGTCCTTTCGGAGATGGACCTTAAACTAGGAGGTCCCGCCTCTTAAATAACCTAACAGTGTGAATAGGGGCGTTAAACGTATACCATTAACCATTTACCATTTAGAAGTTACACGCTAATGTATTGCCTTGAACTTAAAACAAAATTTTATAATTTTTACGCTTTGTTCGTGAAGACCGAAGATCTCTCTGTCTTGATCTTGCCCCGGGCGATAGACGTCTTCTTGCCATGGTCCACATTCACAGCGAGAGACTTCTTGGTTGCCTTGCTTTGTTTTCTCTGTTGGAAGACGTAGTGTAAAATATTATACTGAACGTCTGCGACATTAGGGGGTTACATTAGACAAGAAACGAGGGAGAATTATTGTGGAAATACATGTACTTAAAACAAATACAACGGGTGTCCGAAAAGTGAAGTCAAAATAATCACCGATAGACAATTTTCTTTTGTTTTAGAAAGAGTTTTACGGCACTTGCAAGACAATAAAGTCATATAAGTGCCGAAGATTAGAGGCGTTACAAGAGAGTAACGAACAGAAAAAAAGAAGGAGGAGAGATAAGGACGATAAATGTTTGATAGGAAAGAAGGAGCAAACCACACAAGAGCACCCGTCAACCACCCCCTGCAACATTAAGGGGTTACATCAGACAAGAAACAGGATGAGGATTGTGAAAATACATGTACTGAAACAAATGCAACGGGTGTCAGAAAAGTAAAGTCAAAATGATCACCGACAAATAATTTTACATAGATAACATTAATACAACATGCAGCTCCCCAATTGGTCGCTTTTAAGGACAAGCGGGCTAACCCAGATGTCGGGGGTTTCCAGAAATCTTGACCTATACCAAAAGTGAGCATTGCACTACCTAAAGAAGAAGTTTGGTTTCATTGGTGTGTATATTTGTTTGGTTATAAAGAAAACTATCCTTGTCTTTCAAAGAAACTGAACAAGGCTCCAAAAAACTTTACCTTCGATTTTCTCAAAACAGCTTTCCTAGGGATAGTCCCCTTGCGCTTAAAAGCGACCAATGTAGCTTCTTATCAACATAGTGCTATTTAAGATCTAAGTATTTGCATCGACTCTTCACACCATATGTGCCTAACGGAACAGATTACGATGGTCCATGGAATGCTGTAATATTCAAACCTGTCCTTCGAGATCACCATCTTCCATGAACCGCTTTCAAGACAAATATCGATACAGTATGCAGGCCTAAAACAACAAAAGTCTTTAGTTTTTTTAAAGTTTTAGTAGAGTTTTTACGGCGCTCGCAACTGCATAAGGTCATATGAGCGCCAACAAGAGTCTGAGGGAGCAAAGTCAGGATTATGAGGAGGACGTGGGGTTACATCTAGCCACACCAATAGACACAATCTGTTGATAGATTTACTAAGTGAGGTGTAGCCCCGTCGTGTTGGGGAATAATGCCCTTGCTTAGTATAGTTTTAGTAGAGGATTTTACTGCGCTCGCAACTGCATAAGGTCATATGGGCGCCAAGGGGTGGATGTCAACAGAGAAGTCATTTCAGGGAAGCAGACTTTCTCCGCTCGCCTCTTTAGCTTCAACAACACAAAGTCTGCTTCGACTATCAAGGCACCCCGGAAAGAGCGGGTCACAAGAGCGTGACAAACATACAAAAGAACAAGAGGAAAATGACGATAGTAAGGATGAGGAAAGAAAAAGCAGTAGTTCCCTGTTATAGTTCAGGCACATTTAAGAGCATGGCATTGTTGGATCAGCCCATTTACAATTCTACTGTGCATTAGAACGAAAAATGTGACTACTTTGGGAATGGCCTAAAGACACTTCAGTCAATGGCACCGCCCCGGGGGTGGGGCGGGGGGTTGCCCTTGCTTAGAAATATAGGTCTCTTTCGCTCGTTTGCTTTGGAATTCGTCGAGCCGACATTTTATTGGCTCTGGCTGCTTTGGCCTTTCCTGTAGTAATACCCAGTGCCTATTGGCCCGACCGGTTCTGAGCGGTTCGGTTTGGACCGGTTCTGTTCGATTCTGTCCGGTTCTGTTCGCTAGCCAGATTGAGAGCGTTTGTTTTTTAGGCGACGTGTCGGGCGATCGGTTGGTGATCGGTGTCATTGAGCAGGGGAAACCTTAAAACAGCAGAACGGAGAGTGGAAACGTATTTTGCCAGAGTCATACCTTTTTTAAATTGTCCGCTTTTCCAACGCTGAGGGTCGCTTCGTCGTCTTCTGACTCCTCGGACGAATCCCTACAAGAAATTTATAGTAAAAAAATGGTCTTGTCAGTCATTGTCAGTTGGCGAACATGGAAGAAATCATATTTCCCATGACTTTGATCAACATGATATGTTACAAGAAGAAATTATGCAGAACTTCAAAACATTGCACTAAACTCCCCTCCGCCCC